AGCTCATTTGGGATTTGTGGCTTCTGTTGAGGTATTATTTCAGCCTTTCCAATGTTAATCAGCAGCTCCTGATTGTAAACCAGCTTGTTGCCATGGTTACACATCATAACAAATGCTCAAAAAGTGAAAAAATAGCAGTAAAAATACGCCAAGCTTCACAGCACCAGAAACAGAAAAGTAAAATGTCCAAAAAAATACCATATTTCTTGAGAAACTAGAAGAAAAATTGTCCAAGAAAAAGCTAAATTTACATATAGTCAACAGAGCTTGTGATGGCCACATCCATGTCCACACAACGGTGAACGTTAAGTATACTCTTGCACTTTTATGATTGCAGTTTGTATGTTTATATTTCTTTGGATTTATTGTTTAGATGGCTTGAATGCATTAGTTCTAATTGTAAGCGCGCACATTTAGTTAACTGCTGTATTTTATGCCTTTCATTTGTTCAATTTAAGTTGATTTGTTTTCTCTTACCGGTGCTGGGGTTCTCCACTTCCTGCTTCCTGAGATGGGACAGGCAAACAGTGTTTTAGGGGTTCTGTCAGCTAAATACAGGAGGAGCTGATGGGACCAAACCAATAGCTCCCTGAAGAGGGGACTGAAGAATTTCCTTTAGTTTATTATTTTGTCATTTGTTAATTAATTTAAGTTTGAAGTTAAATAGTTAGGTTTATGGGTTAGGATGTTTAGATTTATTAATAATCTGACTGTACTGATTTGTGGTTTTAGTTTTAGTTCGTAAATGTTTGTCTAGTAATCCCTATTGTTCATGTGGTCTGATCAGCCAGTGTGTATATATACCCTTGTGTGTCTTTGTTTGTTAGGTCGGTTATGGTTTCAGTCAGTCAGTATGTTAAGTTAGAAGTTTATTGAGTTTCAGTTTGTTTGTTTGACCTCTTTTATGAGCTCGAGCTGTTTTTGTGAGGACATTTTTAAAACAAACAGGAAATTAAAGAGTCTATTTTTGGAAATTGCCTGTGTTCCTCCACTCATTTGGCTTGATCCCTCACAGAGCTACTCCAACATGCAGCCACCCAGAGCAGCGCAGTTCCGGAATATTCTGCTCGTATTCTGCCTTTCCTGATTTCCCTCTTTCCTATTCATTTTTAATCTTCCTAATCACAATTTGTTTTCACATTTTAAACATATTTTAATCACATTTTGAAATATTTTGATACTGACAATTTTTTTGTTTTTGTAAAGCGCCTCGTGATTTTTATCTTGAGAGGAGTTATGTAAAAGATTATTTTCCTTCTTTCCGACGTAGGCTTTTCAAATTCTAGCACTTCACCGTCTATTTTTTGGGCAGCAGACACTAAACCCACCTTGCCTGCTGGTATTGGTCGGAGGGACAGGTGGCACCACGGTTCGGCAGCCAATCATCTGTCAGTATGCCCCAGCGCAGCTGTGGCTACAATGTAGCTAGCTCATCACCATCAGTGAACGTGTGTGTAAATGGATGAATGATACACCGTGGTGTAAAGCTCTTTGGAGTCTTCTGATTCTGAAAGGCACTATTCAAGTGCAGGGGCCTCACCGAATCTGCACCGAAGGGCCTTGAGTGTCTGTTAGTGCCTGTTTTTGTCTTCTTAAACTTTTGCTTTGCACTATCTTCCATTGGGAAAAAAGGAAACTCATCTGTGGGTTATCCTGTTGTCTAGTAGCTCTGGTTTGGGCCAGTTGAAAACAATAAGTGCAATCAGAGGCTGTAAATGAGCTGTTTGTCCCCTCCCTGAAAGCACTCATCAGGTGATCTAGGTGGGCTGTCCTCTCACCTAAAGCAAAGCTTAAAAAGCAACTGCAAGCACTTTCAAACAGACCTGAATCTGCACCGAAGGGCCTTGAGTGTCTGTTAGTGCCAGCAGGGTATCTGCAGGTTTAAGGGAGCCAAATTTAAGACTTTATAAGACCTTTTTTAAGGCCACTTTGACCAAATTTAAGCTATTTTTTAAAATTAAATTTAAGCTATAATTTCCAGCTATTGCCTGGAACCGGTGCTAACCATGTCGCGAACGTGGGATTAGCCATCCAGTTACCATTAAACTTGCACTTCCCCATGGCGCGAGCTCCCACTAGCTTAACCAGCTAATGTACTCATCTAAAAATAGCCCCCTTTCACAACCAACTGAACGTGTACGGTTCCACTTATGTCAACATCATACACAACAAATGCTGAACACTAACTAGAAATTCACGAAAATTTGACAAAAATAAAAGAATCTTGTTTATTGGGTCTTTGGTAATTTAAGAACTTTGGAAACTGTATTTAAGGATTATTTGTCATTTTTAAGGATTTTTAAGGCCTTAAATTTGGAAAAGCAAATTTAAGACTTTTTAAGGACCCGCGGATACCCTGGATTGGTCAGGACGCTGCTTCCTGTCTTCATTCGTCATCAGCACAGTCTTTGCCGCTTCAACAAATAAAGAAGTATTTAGCGGCAGACACGGAGCAGATTGAAGAACGCATGGCGGGAAAAAGTCTGTGAATATAAACGTTTATTCACCTGTGACCGAAGGAGTACAAAGATATGCAGCAGGCATTTTATTCGTGGACGGAAAAGACGAGAAACGTGGGTTGCGGATCTCACGAGGAGGTGAAGTGGAATGAGGGGCAAATTTGTTTGTGTTAAAAAACGTCTTTGAACTACATTAAAACAATGTAAACAGAAATGCAAATAAACTACGGTGGACCGGATATGTGACAGGATACCTCAGAATGCCGCTACGCCCTCTGCTGTCCTGGCGAGGAATTGTTCAGCAACAATCCCCAGCTGACTAGAAGTCTGAACGTAAAACGTGTCTCTGTCAGTGCGTGTGCGTCTCCTCCTCACGGAGCTGACGGAGACGTGTACATTAGGCTTTAGACCCGCTCCCATGTATTTTAGACTAACTTTTGCTGCCTTTTGGCCAGGACTCCCTTGAAAATGAGGTTTTTAATCCCAATGGGAACTTCCTGGTTACATAATGAATAAATAAAATAAATAAATGTTATGGTTATTTGGTTTGAAGCAGACAATATTTTTCAACAGCTGGACTAGGGTTGTCACGGTGTGACAATTTAACCTCATGGTTATTGTGACCAAAATTATCACGGTTTTCGGTATTATCGCAGTATTTTTTTAAACGTGTTACATTTTCAGACAACTAAATAAACCCTGTATATCAGGAAAATATTGTCCTCAGTTTGTGTCTAAATTTAGCCTAAAATGTGGTATTTTGTAATTATGTTATTTGTTTACATTTTTCCCCTTTAGTCTTTAAAATACCAATATTTGTCCATAACTTCTTATTTTTTGTCTGTTTGATGTCATCATTTTAAAAATATTAGATGAGATGATACTCAGTACTCAAGTAGCCTTCTAATCAGATACTTTTTTTTACCCTTACTTGAGTAAAAAGCCCTATATCAGGAAAATATTGTCCTCGGTTTGTGTCCTTCCAGTGAGCTTTGCAGATGTGGGAAAATGTCATCAGGCAGTAATCATTGTTAAATTCATAATTATTCTCAGAGAGAGACCAACTCTTATCTGCCCCTGGGAGCCCCGTAATGCATAGCGTCATTTCAACATGGGGGTGTCCGCGACACGCTTTATATGCAGGTAGCGGCGTTGCGGCTGCTTTATATAGCGACTCGTATTCTCCCTCAACCCAAATCCTCGGATCACGCATTTTAGCTAAAACGCTAATGTTAGCTTGCCTTGCGTTGACTGTAGAGTTGTGGGTGATAGTCACGCAGATGTGTCATGAGATTTGAAGCGTTGCTGCCTTTCACAGACACTTTTTCTGCACGTGCTGCAAACAGGATAGCCGTCTTCTATCAACTGTCCCTCGGCATTCTTCAAATATCCAAAACATGCCCATACTTCCAACTTTGTCTATCATTTTGGATAGAGAAACTCCGACAGCACACGCAGGGGGGTTGAGGGGGGTGCCGTCTATCACTACCTCAGTGCCGCGCTCTCAATCCACCAGGCGACGCCTCTTTCAGAAGTGTTTTCCTAACATGAAGTGTGGATGAAATAAGTCTCCACCCATGCCTTTAAGTTTTGGCTTACTTTTAGCACCCCCTAGTGTCCGTTTAGTAGAACAAAAAATTATGTCTCCTCAGCCTTCCTTACTGTCTACAGGAGTGATTCATAACTAAATTAAATGAATCAGCTGTGTTCATGATCTAAAACATGGAGGACAACATGCTGGAAGCAGACTGCAGCCAAAGGCATGTCAGCTCCACTTTACTAAGTCCAACAGACAGGGTATCTGCAGGTTTAAGGGAGCCAAATTTAAGACTTTTTTTAAGGCCACTTTGACCAAATTTAGGACCTTACATTCAAGACTAAAAAACATAATGTGACGAGTACGACCTTACAAATAGTTCTGGCCAAACCTTTATTGGAACTGAAAGTGATGAAAAATAACACAAACATCGAGATAAGAGAATCTGAGCATATATTTTCCAAAAACAAAATGCAGTACTAACAACTCTGAGTTAAATACTGAATATCCGTATTTAAATGAACTGAGTTTACATGAACGTGTAAAATGAATACAAGTACCATGTATTGAATACTAAATATAAGTAAATGGTCCTTCTCTTTTCTCAGTTATGGAATAGATCTGAGTTCTTCAGTCTTGGTCTTCAGTTCAGTTTCCACCTGTTCTAGTTCTACATTTTTTCTCTGTATCTCTTCCTCAGCGTGTTTGACTTTGTGATGAGCTGGGCCATCAAGCTTCCACTCTTCCCTTCAGCATCTTCTGCAAGTTTATCAGCATCTCTATGTAGGCTGTTGGACACTTACAGCAGAATTTGCTTCTTTTTCCTAAGCTTCTCAATGGCTTCTTCTGCAGATTTTTGCTTCTGTGCCTCGCGATCAGTGATTTTCTTCCTCTTTTGCTCATCTAGATGCACTCTGTATCTGGACCTTGCTGATGCAGCCGACGCAAGTAGCTCCTTTGACATAGGGACATTGAAGACCCCCCCCCCCCCCCCCCCCCCCCCCCAGAGACAGTGACATAATCACAGACCAGTCGCTGAGCAATCATTGTGTCTTCCTGCATATTGTAGGTCTCCACCTCTTTGTTTACAGAGAATCCTCTCTCTACTGTTGCTTGTCCATGGGACAGAAGTAGTAGTTTCTTGCTAAACTCCAATAGCTCCTGATAGCATTGGCTCAGGACGCCATTGAGAAATACATCCAGTCTACACTCTGTGGGTCTGTAGGAGAGAAAGGTCTCACTTCTCGCTCCAACTGATAAGACCTCAGTAAACTGCTGGACAATTACATCACCTGCAAAAAAAAACACAGTGATAAAAAAATGACTTGATGTATTTTGATTGTATACATTAAAGCTGCAAGCAAGAGTTTTTGTGAGACTGATTGCACCTTATGTCTGATATATTTAACATGTATCTGCAAAATTAATTTTCTTCATATATTTTTACATAAACAAACTGAACTGCTGTATTCTCTCCTACCAGCAGAGACACCTCCTGATAACTGCTGGTTTTGCAGAAACCTCTGCACCAGGTTAGTCATGTTTTTCTGGCACCAGTCTGGGTCAGAATACATTCTCCTGGGATCCAAACAGGCAACCTGCCTAACAGGGGGGTACTTTAATAGACTCTTGTCTTGCACTTTCTGAATGATGGTGGACAGCATCTTGATGCAGTCTTTCCTGAACTCCAGGACAGTAAGCTCCCCTATCTTTTTTTTGTTGCTGAAGTTCCTGACAGAATGGAATGTAATAAGACCAAGTTACCCATTATAACAGCCAACAATATTCATCACTATTGAATTAACCCTCCCACTATCCTAATGGGTGTGACCCCGCAAGGAAAGTTGACCATTGAGCAGGGTTGATTGTTTATCCCTTGGGTCCATGTGGCAGGGGTGAGAAGTGAGCACCACCTCACCCCTGCCACGTGGACCTCACTCCAAGGCTCTCTCTGCTACTGGTAAGTTTTCAAGCCATCGGTGGCTACAGAATGCAAGTGGAAACTTTGCAGAAGCTGTCAAAGTTATGAAGTCCTCTCTCCTAGCTGGCACATTATGGAAGAGAACATGCATGGCTTTCAAAACTTTCTCTAGCTGCCACACAGAGAAACCACTTTTGCAGGCATTATGTAGAGTGTGAAGGCCACAGCTCCCAACCACAATCAGCTGTCTCCCCTCATACTGCTCACGCAGTTCTTCTTGAAGCAACTCCAAAAACTTCCAGTTTACATTTGGCCCATCCATGGAGACTGAAAGCAGCTTTTTCAAATCCAGCTGCTGAGAGCATTCCTGAGGAAAAAACTGAGCATTAGGCTGGGTAATGTATCAAAACAAGAAAAACTTTGAACTGCTCCACTGAAAAAGTCATATTATTGAATTTTTTTTTTCAAATAAAAAAAATTCTAGTTGAAAAATAAAATGTATTCCCATTTATGGATTACAGCAACACAATTGCAATAATTGCCCATAATTTTCTGACAACATTGGCTACATGTGTTTTACTAGTGTTGGCTTGTTACTTACTTTAAAGTGGTGTAGTAAATCCTTAGCTGTTCCATGGCCCATGAACTGTGATCCTAGGTACCTGGACTGGACTCGATCCTCTTTCCAGTAACGAACATGCAGATCCATTTGCTTTGTTTTGGTCATCTGGTTGAGGGTTTCATCAAACATCAAAGTAAAACTGCCTCTGTTGACATCGGCCATAAGGAGTTTGATGATGTGGGGAGCCAAACCAAATATGACTACATATGCGGTTTTGTCTTTACCACACGTAAAGTTTTTAGCAATTTCTGAGTCGGGAAACATAGCTCTAAATATATCTCCGACTCCCTCATTAGCGCCGTAGGATTGGTGTCTTGTTACGCTGTGCAGGCACCACAGTACCTCTGCCTGAAGAGTTGCAGTGGATCCAAAAATCCCCCTGAGGTCCGATGCTGATGCAGTCGCTGCTGAGTTCGGAGATTCTGAAGCCGGGGAAACCGGTGACACGGTGCAGAACTGAGAAATCGCATTCGTCTGTTCGCGGGTTTTGGCTGCGGCTTTGTGCTTCTCGCTGTGCATATGCGACTCCACAGCTTTAACTCCCATGGAACCGAGTTTAAAGAGCTTTTTGCACAGAGTACAGCGGGCCTCGCAGTTATTGCCCGGAACCGGCGCTAACCACGTCGCGAACGTGGGATTAGCCATCCAGTTAACATTAAACTTGCACTTCCCCATGGCGCAAGCTCCCGCTAGCTTAAACAGCTAATGTGCTCATCTAAAAATAGCCCCCCCCACCTTTCCACAACCAACTGAATGTGTACGTTTCCGCTTACGCCAATATCACACACAAAAAAAGCTGAACACTAACTAGAAATTCACGAACATTTTATAGAATAAAAGAATCTTGTTTATTGGGTCTTTGGTAATGTAAGACCTTTGGAAACTGTATTTAAGGATTATTTGTCATTTTTAAGGACTTTTAAGGCCTTAAATTTGGAAAAGCTAATTTAAGACTTTTTAAGGACCCGCGGATACCCTGTGCCAGTTTTTGTCTTCTTAAACTTTTGCTTTGCACTATCTTCCATTGGGAAAAGAGAAGGAAACTCATCTGTGGGTTATCCTGTTGTCTAGTAGCTCCGGTTTGGGCCAGTTGAAAACAATAAGTGCAATCAGAGGCTGTAAACGAGCTGTTTCTGCCCTCCCTGAAAGCACTCATCAGGTGATCTAGGTCTCAAACATTGCAGTCAGGTGCTGCATGAACACCTGTTTCCAACTAGTAGCACAGCATAAGTTTGGTGGCATAACTGAAGCGTCAGACCTTGTGTCTCAGCCCCTCCGGTGTGAATACACTCCGGGGTAAAGACATACGTGTCTACCTGCGCGTGTCCACAGAGCAAACAAACTTGACCCAGACGCTGCTCCATCAACACCTAGCAAAATGTGCCATTATCCTATACCTGTGATCACTAGCATCAGAGGAAGGTCACACACAGCAAACCGCTTTCGCAACCTTCAAAACCTCCGCTCGATAAAACCAACTCTCCCCGAAGACATCCACCTGTCCATGGGACTGTGGAACGGCCAATCAGCTGTAAACAAAGCTGACTTCATTACCGCATATGCAAACCACCTGTCACTCGATGCACTGGCTCTCACTGAGACCTGGATCAAACCATGTGACAATGCTACCCCATCTGCTCTCTCAGTTAACCACACTTTCTCACACTTCTCATGCATCTGGCCGAGGTGGTGGAACGGGCATGTTAATTTCCAACAAATGGATATACAGTCAGTTGCTACCAATCACTAAATACAACTCCTTTGAATACCATGCCATCCAGGTAACTGTACCGAAAAAATTCTTTTTGGTTGTCATATATCGCCAACCAGGTCACTTCAGAGACTTTCTTGATGAACTCGACACCCTGCTCTCCTCCATTTCCGAGCACGACTGTCCCACAATGGTCCTTGGAGACATGAATATTCACCTGGACAATCCCAGCTCATCAGGCTTCCTGTCACTAATGTCATCATTCCATCTAAAACTAGTACAAAGCCCTCCAACTCACAAAGCTGGAAAAGCACTCGACCTCATTTTCACCAGAAACTGTGCCATAGACACAATCTCTGTCCCACCGATGCATCTTTCGGATCATTACTTCATCCATTTCAGCATGACTCTACAAGGGGGTCCACTGCTTCCTCCCCAACGGTCTCATTCCGCCGCAACCTCCGCAATCTGGCACCCAACTACTTCTCCTCTCTTGTTGCCTCCACACTTCCATCTCCCAGCACATTCTCTGCTTATGAAGTGAATGAAGCCACCGAGTCACTCTGCTCCACACTCTGCTCTTGTCTTGATAACTTGTTCCCTTTAGCCACTAGACCTGCTAGATCCTCTCAGTCGCACCCTTGGCTAAATGATACCGTCCGGTCTCTACGCACCAATCTTAGAGCTGCGGAACGGAAATGGCGCAAAACAAGAGATCCTGGTGATCTATTGAAATTTCAGGAATTACTGTCCTCATTCTCTGCCAGCATCACTGATGCAAAGAAAACTTTCTATCCTGACAAAATTCTCAGCTCTACTGACTCTCAGAAACTATTTTCAACATTCAAAACTCTGCTCGCCCCTCCATCTCCACCTCCTACCAACAATCTATCAGCTAAAACCTTTGCCTCATTCTTCACTGACAAAGTGGCAGCTATAAGCAAACAGTTTACTCAACTGGCCACTCCTGAACATTCACTACCACAAACTCCTTCAAGCCCAACCATCTCAGGCCCTACTGCTTCATTTTCCTCTTTTTCCCCTGTCACTGAGAACTGTGTGTCCAAGCTTCTCACGTGCAGCCGCCCTACTACATGCCCACTTGACCCCATTCCGACTAAGCTGCTCCAAGCTATTGCTCCTACAGTAGCCGCAGCAGTCACACATTTGATCAACGCTTCACTGACATCCGGTACATTTCCCATCTCTCTCAAGCATGCTCAGGTTAAACCGTTGCTAAAAGAAAACATCTCTTCCTCCTAATCATGTGGAGAACTACCGACCTATCTCTCTCCTCCCTTTTCTGTCCAAAATCATTGAAAGGGTGGCATTCAAGCAGATCACAGAATACCTCTCACAAAACTGTCTGCTTGACCCTTATCAATCTGGGTTCAAAAAGGGCCACTCCACTGAAACTGCTCTGTTAGCAGTGACTGAATCCTTAAAAGAAGCTTGAGTGACTGCCAAATCCTCAGTGCTTATCCTGCTCGACTTATCAGCTGCAATTGACACTGTCGACCATGGCTTCCTTTTGTCCACACTCTCTACCATGGGCATCACAGAGAAAGCATACGCCTGGTTTGAATCGTACCTCCCAGGACGAACATTCAGTGTATCTTGGCTTGGACAATCCTCTACCGTACACCATCTTGCCACAGGAGTCCTCCAGGGCTCTGTACTAGGACCTCTTCTCTTTGACATATGCACCACCTCACTGGGTGAGATCATTCAATCACATGGATTCTCCTACCACTGCTATGCAGACGACACCCAGCTCTATCTGTCATTTCCACCGGACGACCACACTGTCTCTGCACGAATATCAAACTGTCTCTCTGACATATCAAAATGGATGAAATCCCACCATCTCCAAATCAATCTCTCTTAAACTGAATTACTTGTCATCCCAGCAAAACCATCCATACAGCACATCTCAATCCAGAATGACTTCCTATCTCTGGCTCCTTCAAAGGCAGTTCGAAATCTGGGTGTTGTGATTGATGAACACCTGACCTTTAAAGATCATGTTGCATCTGTTGCCCGTTCATGCCGCTTTGCGCTGTATAACATACGAAAGATCAGACCATGCCTAACACAACATGCCACCCAGCTCTTGGTGCAATCTACTGTCATCTCCCATCTCGATTACTGCTATGCCCTTCTAACTGGTCTTCCAGCCTGTACTGTGAGACCTCTTCAAATGGTCCAGAACGCAGCAGTGCATCTGGTCTTCAATCAACCTAAAAGAGCACATGTCACCCCTCTGTTCATTGAGCTCCACTGGCTACCGCTAGCAGCACGCATCAAATTCAAATTGCTAACACTAGCATACAAAGTCCGAGATGGTACGGCTCCCATCTACCTGAATCCTCTTGCAAAGGCTTACGTCTCGGCCCGGCCGCTCCGGTCATCACAGGATCGTCGGCTAGCAGTGCCTACACCACGCTCAGGACAATCCAGACTATTCTCATGCATCGTTCCACAAATGTGGAATGACCTACCAAGCACTACCAGAACAGCGGCTTCTTTCTCAATTTTCAAGAAACTCTTGAAGACCCTGCTCTTCAGAGAGCATCTTCTAAACTAGCACCCTGCCTGCACCCGTCCCCCTCTCTACTGTCCACTACTTGTTCCCTACTCTCCATGACTGATGTCAAGATGTTGTTGTTATTGTTGTTGTTAGCCTCAAGGGCAACATGCCGATTATCACTTGTAAGTCGCTTTGGACAAAAGCGTCTGCTAAATACATAAACATTTATCAAGCTTGCTTACGCACAAAACAGGGGTGGAAAACTGCGTAAGCAACTTTCCACGCAAACGTTGGGATTTATGAAAGAAAACTCAGCAAAAAAATGTGCACAACTTTAAGTTGACTAAGGACCTGGCTTACGCACATTTTGGACATGGAGAGCACCTGCAGTGCTGCTGCTGAGAAGGATACAATTATGAAATCCTGCAGCATTATCATTTGTACCGCTTCGTTTTCACACAGATCAAGACCCCCCCCCCCCCCCCCCCCCCCGGAATGTTGAATATCAGCAGGGGGCAGATTGAGACAGAATGTCATGTTCCCTGGCTACTTGGACAAGGGAGATCTCCGTTTGGGTGACTGGTTAGCGCGCGGGACTTTCACCCGGGAGTCTGGGGATCGATTCCCTATTGGACTATTTTTTTATATCCGCCACAGATCTCTCTGAAGAATTCACAACATTGGTGGCTTCAGCAACGCTGTGCCATTCTGTGGATTTTCTTATTGTTTTGTAAAAGTACTTCCTTTCATTTCTCCACCTCACCCACAGGTACCTCAACTTCTGCTTGTGAAATAGCGCTTCCTTGATCTAAAGAGCTTGACCATCGTGAATGGTGAAATGCTGCAACGAGCCAGCTTATGTATATGCATGAGATCCACAAGGCACTTTGCATTGACCATGCATTGACAACCATGCATTGACCATGCATTGACAACTCCATGTTTGATAGATCACAAGCCTGCTTGGCGAAAGTAGTTTTTTTTTTTTTTTTTTTACTGAGCTTAAGTACGGTATTCTACGCAATGTTTGATAAATGAGACCCCTGGTCATTGATTACTATTTTCTATCAGAAGGTAATGCAGGAGATCGGTGTAGAAGACTGCTTTCATTTTCAGTTTGTATGAAAAATTCAGAGTGACCAATTATAATCAGAAATGATAATTAAAACAGTTTTTTCAGTGTTCCACACCTTTAACTAATTAGAATAAAAACCCAAATTGTACCTTTAAGTGATACGCCTACTTTTCATAAATAAATTATCCGTAAATAATTTAGATTTAGAGCTTTTTGTTAGAATTACCAAACTTGCAGAACAGAAAATGTGAGCTTGTTAATAAAATATCAACACCTACCAACTGATTTATCAGCCATGCCTACATCCCTTGAGGTCCAGCGACAGAAACCACAGGCCAGATAGTAAGCCTTCTTCATTGTTGTCTTTGAAGGATCATCAGGCAAAGGAGCAGGAATGTTAGTTGCTCGAGTTGACAGAGTATGCATGCAGGAAGGGCAGTCGAAGCAATTTGCACACCTACAACAGAACACAGAGATAACGGGGCAAAAAAGGAAATAAATATAATTTTTTAATTGTCAAAAGCTATCAAAAACAGCTAATGTCAACTTGACAGAGTTGCATGTTTATATATTTGGTGGGTGTAAGATAGCTGAGGTCACCTGTTTTTTTTAAGCTTAGCCTCTGCAGATGGCATGTTCTCCAAACAGCTTGGACAATAATGAGAGTCCACCTAATTAAACAGAGGGAAACAAGTATCAATATTTCCTCATGAGCTGCAAGGATCTATCCAAGACAAGAATAAAACTATACTATTATAATTTTTTATGTAACTGGCTTGGTCAGTGCAAGAACTGCAGAAAATAAATTATGTAATAGAAAAGCATGACTGATTCAGTGGGATTGAATAATTTGTACATCAAACTTTTTGTTGTCCATTTTCAATGGAATTGAAATCTATTTTGTTGTTGAACAGACTAAGAAGCACAACTCTGAGAAGTTTTGTGAATGTTTTGTTGATTTTAAATGTGTTTTCAATCCTTGTGCAATAGAATAGCCAACACTAAAACTTTAGGATTCGTTCCACATAAGAAAAACTTTCATTTTGCACTTTTAAATAAATGCATCATGTGAGAATGATGATGTAATTATATAGGAATAATAAAAATAGGCTTTAACAATGTAACGTTAAGCTTTTTATTCAAACACGTTTTCTATCTATTCAAAATTTAATCTTAATGATTCAATCTTATAATTTCGTTTGAACACCTCTGATTCAGACCTAGTCTGCTCTCCATGAGCTTCTCTCACAAATAGCGCCCTCTGGCGGCTCGACGCAGGAGGTGCCTAGAAGAACACCACTGGGTGTGGTGTCCCAAACTGAGCCTCTTTAAGACGTATACGATGTCTAAATGTTAGCCGAGGTGGAGGATGAACGTGATCGGAGACGGTTTAAGTAAACAACAAGCTAAAAACTATATACAATTATCTAGATCCTTCAAGTTTAGCAAAAGCCATTAGCTCCCTTAACCCTTTCTTTTCCTGTTTTCGCGTCATAAACGTTATCGCCAGCGGAAATGAAACTGAACAACCAGAGATTATAGAAAATGTTGATTGACAAGAATCTTAGCTGATCAATGCGTTTGAAAATCGGATGGTCCCGCTCACATGTCAACGCGTCAGGGAACTAAACAAAAAGCTAACCGCTAGCTTGCGTTAACCAGAGAGGGAAATGCCGTACCTCATGAGACACACATTCTAGGGACCGTAGCTCGATGCAGTAGCGGCAGAAATAAAGCTGAGACAAGGGAGCTCTTGTCCTTTTCTCTCCACGAACCAGGTACAGAACCCTGTCTGGCTGCAGAAGAGACGCCATCTCTGTCCGGAGATACTGATGGGACAAAAGTGAAAGACGTCAAGCAGAGGCTTATGCCGAGCGCAAACCGGGTGTGTCTATGAAACCAGTAAACTACGTGACTGGCGATAAACGACTCGGGCCCATTAGTTCGACATGAGCAGCGCCCATCGACATACATAGGCCGTGTTGGAGTTTAGCAGCGCCTCGCCTGGGAAACAGACGAGAGCAGACGGAGTCGGACGTAGCAGGGGGAGTGGCTGAAAGGTTGGGCTGGCGCTGACGAGCGCTGGCGCCGCCATCTTGGATCGGTCGAGCACCCCTTCCCTCCTGAGTAGTCCTTGACAGAGGCATTGAAGTGTCAGCATGTAAAATCAACCATAACTCCTTGAATTTTCAAATGATTTTGATGCGGTTTTTTCCACTGCAAACGTCACACATGTAGCCATCGTCAAAAATGACAATTGTGGGCACTGCAGTATTAGCTCACAGGAGACACTGCACTGTGGGATGAGATTTGTACCAATATGATCAAGAAAAACACTTTGGAGAGCAAACAAATTTTAAGACATTGAGAGAAAAAAATCATTTGTTTCAAAAGACAAACTTACAATCTGAATCAGATTCTTAAAATGATCAAGAAAAACACTTTGACGGTCAAACAAAAATTAAGAAATTGACAGAACAAAAATATTGACTAAAGGAAAAAACATGTTTCAAAAGTAAAACTTGCTATCTGAATCAACTTCTTAAAATGAGTAACAAAGTATGTTTCCTTTTTCTGTTTGCCTTTATGTGTTTTTGTTATCAATTTCCTTAGTTTCATTCTCCCTTCTCACAGCTTTGCTCGCACTACCAGATTTGCACTTACACTTTCTGACTTTCTCCTTTGCACTCCCTGAGTTTTTGGTTGCAATTCTGTCACAACCCTTTCGGGTGGGTGGGACTCCTGAGAAGTCCTCTCCCATAGGGCAGTGGTTTCTCTTGAGTGACAGTTCAGTGACCTGGAAGTGATGCAGCCTCCAAGACTTTTTTTTTTCCACCTCGGTCAACAACATGAATTTTGAGCCCCAAACACATTTCTGCTGTCTTTGGTGTCTACTGAGGATCTAAAGTGAGTATTGATAAAATATTTTATCTTTTCTTAGTTAATCTGTAAGTTAATTCACTTTTTAAGTTGGTTTTAACCAGGCGTTAGCTCACTAGCTAGCTGCTAAGCAAGTCATTGTGCTAGCCTCAGGACAATGGTCTATTGTTCCAGAGAGACGTATTAAAAACTCATCTTAACATATTCATTTTTATTCCATGTTACTTGGACGGGCTAAACAAGTTCGTAGTTCTGCCTGCTCCTTGTGCAGTGAAACGAATGGATTATATGACGTAACTCTGACTGAATAATTATCTAATTGAGTATGTTTGATAATAAATTTTTTACCAGTATACAGATCTGACATTTGTTTGTTAGAACAGGACAAATCAGATTCAATGTGCTTTCTGTCACGTGTTCTGTATTCTCCATCAAAAGAATGTTATCAAGGACAGATAATCAATAATGAGTGAAATAGATGCTTTTAATTATTTAATTTTTACATAAAATCTATATTTTTGTCTAAAAGCTATTTCTTTTGTTTCTTTCCTTTTAGATTGAAAACTACTGCATCGCATTACAATGGAAGTGCTACACGGCTACATGCATCAACTGAAGCTGGTGAGCTAAGACACACCATAGTGTACATAAAGTACACTGCAGACAAGGGATGTAAGAAAATATCAATATCGCAATATATCGCGATATAGTTAGTTGAGCAGGCAGGTCGCGCTAGAACATTTCGTTTACAACGACGTCATAATTTTTTTTCCCCGTCATTTTTATTTCCAAAATATGAAGTAAAAACTCCCAATTCAATTTTCATTCATTTTTTTCATTTAAAGGCACCAGAATGCATTACCTGCACTTCTTTTTATTTATTTATCTTTTTTTAATTAATTTTACCGTGTCCTGTCTGGCTGTGAAGCAAACAGAATTGATGTCTGAATGCTGGTAACAAGCCTTACAGATTTACTCTCAGGTGGAGCATCAAAGCGTCTGCTTAAAATGTCACGCCTGATACTTCAAATTTTATTGTTATTGTTTTTGAATGCTTTGTAATTCCGACCAGACACGGAGACAGAGGTGAAAGAGAAAGGAAAAGACAAATGGTGGGAAGAGAGAGGGGGGGGGGGGTCCACAAAAATAAACAATGAACAAGAGTCTGCTTCTAGACCTGCAGAAAGAGCAGAGCAGAAAAAAATTGGGACACACAACAATACAACAGGAGCAAGCTATCACTGTGTCAACCTGATGATGAAATATAAAATCAATATTGTTTAACTGAACAATCACACCATAATAAATCATAGTGCATTTAGTGGCAACGACAGCCTAAAGACAAGTGTTGAACTTGCCCAAGTCCATACTTTTGAGAGCACCAAGTGAGCACCTGTGTGTGTACACACACTTGTTTATGTAAGGTTTCTTTTCAGGAGCGTCCAATAGAGAGTGTGAGGGACCACAGATCTGCCCCCCAAAGATGCATAGGAGATGGGGGGAGCTCCAAGTCCCAGAGATCCAGGTGCTGTCCCAGAACACAGGAACCCCAAGGAGACTGCAACCAGAAAGGCCCCCGCCCCCCTCGAGAGGCACAGAGGATCGCCCCGGGGGGCCACAACCAGCAGCCGTCATGATCTAGCCCGGCCTCCCTGACTGTCATGATCTAGCCCGGCCTCCCTGACTGTGTCTCTCCTGCCTTGATTAACCTTATAGTTCTCACCTGTCCCTCGTTACTCTGCCCATGTGTTCCTGATTTCCTTGTGTATTTATACGTCCCTCCTTGTTGCTGTCTTCGTCAGATCATTGTTTGTTCATGCGTGTTTTGTCCCGTCTCTCCCGTTCCACCATTAAACCATTTTTAGTTTTTCCTGCCTCTTGAACCCCTCCACCACACTTGGTCCGCCATCTCCACCCTCACATCATGACACGCAGTAGCAGAGCGCTTCAGGCACAAATAAGACAGAAAGTAGAGAACATGTGCGGACATGAACGATCGTGTGCTAATTATAGTTTTTTGGTTGAGCCACTTTGAGAATGGGCCGTGCGCTGGAAGCAGCAGCCTGGATCGCTGCGCAACAACTCAGCGCTGTGCTGCTCTCTGTGCTCTCTGCTCAAAAGAGTTCATAAATGATGTAATATAGGTAGAAGACTTTTTTCCGGCTCCCCTGGATGTGTAGGATATACAGCTCCCCCATAATTCGATCCCTGCTCCTGGATGAAAAGCCGGACATTTTCATCAATACAAGAACCCCCAGTCCGGACGCCCCGGACAGAGAGTGAAAAGTGGACATGTCCAGGGAAAACAGGACGTACAGTCACCCTAGTTTAATATAAAGCGGGAGATTACAGATAGGCCTACAGTATTTTGCTCGTGCCCTTGCTGCCCTGGGCCCTTTAGAGTTCGTGGGCCCTGGGCAATTGCCCAGTTGCCCATATGGTTAATCCGGCCCTGACTTGAAGTAATAAAACTTCCAGAATTAACTTTAGGCTAATCTCAGAGGAACTAGAATCAAGTTACAGAAGTAAAAATTTGTCCTGCCATACTCACTGATCACAAAACTATTAGTATCAAATTTAATCTTTCCGTTATACATGTAACATCCAGCAATGGTCAATTTTAAGTACAGTTTGACCATTCAACATCTGGTCAAAATGATGGAGACAAGAGACTGCATGTGTTCCCTTTAATCTGCCTGCCTTCATCACACCAGCTGGAGCTCAGAGCCTCTCTGCAGCTCTGAACACAGATAACGTATTGTCAACAATGATGTTCTCTCCTTAAGGCTTCCCTTATCGTCCTACAGGATTCTTCATGCCTCTGAATAAGGAACACTCACAGCTCGGATTAGTTGCTAAATCAAAGAATTAATTCTTAAATTAAATATGAAGTTTTAAAACTTATAAGTTAAATAATCATTAAATAAATGTTTGTTTATTGTCACAATAATTATAATATAATGAAATGCTTTCATTAATATGTGATTGAAGTTTGAAATGAATGCTATGTTATGATCACATTGGAAGATTTATATATGTTTCAGCATGTTGATATGACGAGGTCATCACCATCTACACTCACAAAAAAAACAAAGTAAAGTTAAGACAAACAAACGTGTGACACATAGATAGTCCTTTACCCCAGATCAGAGCATCCGGTATCAAAGAAGGCGTGTTTCTGAGGTTGCCTCAGTAATATTCCTCAACTTGTCAACCTCTGGTTGGCTACACAAATCATAACATGAGAACATTAAAACTGGACCACTCTGGTGATTTATCAGTTCTTGAGAAAGCTTCAGACCGGCCATCTGAAGCAAAACCTCTCTAACCCATCAAAGCTTTTGACACGTTGACAAAATCTTTTTGCACCTGCGAAGCTGACACAGCAAACAGTTCCTGCAGAACAAAGCTGATTTTGTTGCGACTCCTTAAAGATTCCCAGACGCGCGGTTCCATCCATCTGTTGTGACCCAAGACATCTCTGGACTGAAGCGTCTGTGCAACAGTATTCTACAGCCCTCGGTGCCAGAGATCACCCGACCTCTCTGACCTTCGGATCCACGAAGAGGGTCTCCGAGAACGGGTGAAGTAGACACACAGATAGTGTCTGATGCCTTTTGATAATAATCAGCTTCATAGCTTAACGCAAACCAAATTCTTTTACACCCAGAACTCAGCTCTCCTAGATACGGAAGTTCTGATAACATCACACTCACAAATAGGCACCACACACTACACCTACTCCATCTAGATCCATCCACTCACAGTAAATATTAGTGTTTAATATTATGCTTTAATTGTTTGTGAATTAAATTCTTACTTTTACAAACTTGACTCTTCTTGAATCAAAACAAAGTGTTTACAATCCCTGAATAAACAAAGAATCCTAGAATCTTCTGATTAAACACAGTAAAGACCAAGCAGGTTGATATTCTATATTTATATAGAGTATCACAGCTTATTGGTCATAAGTACAGGGAACGTCTATATATATATATACCGTAAATCCTCTAATACAGGCTGGTATTCAATTAAAGACCGGGTCTCCAATTTTGGCCGGTGTCGGAGTCAGCGGAGGTAAATGATGGCCGGTCTCTTATTGTGGCCGGATGGAATGTGGTAACAAGCAAGTACGAGCGTCCCAGCGGCAGGG